TGTATGTATGTATGTATGTATGTATGTATGTATGTATGTATGTATGTATGTATGTATGTATGTATGTATGTATGTATGTATGTATGTATGTATGTATGTATGTATGTATGTATGTATGTATGTATGTATGTATGTATGTATGTATGTATGTATGTATGTATGTATGTATGTATGTATGTATGTATGTATGTATGTATGTATGTAATGTATGTATGTATGTATGTATGTATGTATGTATGTAATGTAATGTAATGTATGTATGTATGTAATGTAATGTAATGTAATGTAATGTAATGTAATGTAATGTAATGTAATGTAATGTAATGTAATGGTATGTATGTATGTATGTATGTATGTATGTATTATGTATGTATGTAATGTATGTATGTATGTATGTATGTATGTATGTATGTATGTATGTATGTATGTATGTATGTATGTATGTATCCTTGCACTTCCCCTTTGCTCCCCAGTATTTCCCGCAAAAAAAACACGGTTTTTCCAGCGTTTTCGCAAAGAGGACGTCCAAAAACATTGAGTTTTTCCAGAGTTTTGCCAGATTTTCGGCAAAAGGATGCAGGAAGCCCAAGCCAGCAAAAAAAGCCGGCAGGGGGAATCGAGCCTGGGACCCCTGTTTTGCGACACCGGCTCCCCGAAGACTACGTTTAGTGGAACGTCACCAAATTGCCGCGCGGTCCTGGGGGGGGGCCCCCCCGGGTTAGGTGGGGGGGGGGTTATCCTCTATCCTCTCTTAGGTGTCCGACACGCCGAGCAATGTCGGCGGACTAGGAATAGTAGGGGAATACTGAGGGAATTACCAAGAAGCTGCTAAGAGGAAGATTGAAGGAATATTTGGGGAACACTTGAACACTTAGAAAAGATTTGGGGTATACAAGAAAATACAAAAGGAGCTAGGGGAATACCAGGAGAATACAGAGAAGATTATGAGGCAATATGCGTGGAATATTCGGGGAGTACCAGGGAATGATAAGGGAAATACAGGGGTATAGTAAGGGAGTACTAGGGAAGCACAAAGGGTGAATACTCGACAAACAAAAGGGGAGTACTGAACAAAGGGGGATACTAAGGGAATAGCAAGGGAATCCTTGGAGAACACTGATTGCCAGAAAGCAGGGAGAGGAAAGATGCCAGCAGTGGGTGGCCTTCTCCAAAAATCACCAAAGAATGCATGTGCAAGAAAGGTGCATCCACATACGCCAAGGTGTAAAAAATGCTGATTTCAAAAACACAGGCCCCATGGCGGGCCGCTCTCTTCCCATTTTGGTACAAGCGCTGCGGACGTTCTCACCTGGTATGACCTGTTAGTTTTGTTGCAAGTCCAATTTTATTCAACACCAGACAGTCGCGCAAAAAAACATTTTGAGGGACCATAATTAGTAGTACCACGTTCTGGGTACTGACGTATTCATCAAGTCATGCATACATGACAAACCACTGCTTGAGCGGCTAGAGTGATGCTGCTTGAAGTTAAGCAAGTTTGTCTTGTCTACTTGTTGCTTGGCTGGCATGTTTGCAGTCAGTAGCGGCATGCACTTCAGGGGTGGACCTGTCATTTGGCTGGCATGTGCGCCGTGCTGGAGCATGTGTGTGTTTATCAGTTGGCTGGCGTTTGTGTGTGAGTGTGCGCTTGTTTGTAGAGCATGCAGTGGGCAATCCTCGAGCGACGGGTTTTGATCTTGGGATTTGTTTTGCTTTGCAGGTGCCGAACTATGCGGCACTCTTTATTTGGGGCTTTCTGCGCTAGTTTGATGCTTGGTTTGGTTGGTGTGTACAAGGCGTTTGTTTGATCTTGGTAGGCCCAACCGTCAACGGGTTTTGGGCGCTGCTTATGCGGGTTGTTCGCAGGAGATCGATTGGACCGACGGCGTGTACGGAGTGCTGCCCACCGCCAAGCCATTGGAGGTGCTGAAGGCCATCGACAAGATGTTGGTCATGGGCGCTGCGATGGACCCGGAGGCTCTGAAGGCTGGCGTCTTGGCCCACAGCAAGGCCATCAAAAGCATTGATGGCAAGGGAGTCACGACTCTCGCGGACTACACCGCCACCAATGCTGCCATTGGGCACATGATTGCGTCAGTGCCAGCATCCAAGACAATGGACGTGTACAACGCCTTCAACAAGTTCAGCCTGGGAAAGGATGTCGGGCCTTACATGATGTCCAAGGTGAGCGCTGACGATGCCAAGGCTGCCTACAAGGCATTCCTTGAGTTCAAGGATGTGGTCAAGGCTTCCCAGCGATAAGCTGTACGCAGTCTCCCTGGTCTTGCGCAATCTGTATAGAGTTTTAGCCATTTGAGCCTGTCCTGTTGCTCGGCGCCCTGTCAGCATCGAGGCTCAGATGTGTTTGTTGATCGAGAATTTTATTACTAAATTCCGTGAATTGCGTTTAAGAGGTCGCAAGTAACAAAGCTGCGACGGCTGAAGGAGCTTCAGCAAAAGAGGCGTTAAGGACCTTCTCGTTCGTTCGCGCGATCACTCCATTGAGGATTGCGCACCATTAATCCCTTCCAGGGTGGTCTGATACCTGCTCGTAATCGCTCAGCAACAGTCTTTCTCAGGTTGTTGGGGAGGCTCACAACATGGAATGTTTCTTTGTCCGGACCTGGCGATCCCTCCATCCTCCCTGCAAATCCACATGGAATGCCCGCAAAGGGTTTCCCCGAATGTTTCCACGCACAAAAGGTGCTGCAGGCTTTTCGGGAGTTTCGCAGGCCTGGGAAACTCCAATCAGAGTGATGAGTGGGGGCCGGGGGCGCGAGAATCGGAAAGGCGGTGCGGGTGGACGCCTGCTCGGGCAAGGCCCTGCTGCTGCTGGCCATGGCCAGGTGGGATCTGGAAAGCGTGGCATGAGGTTCACTTCCATTTCCATTCTTTCCAATCCGAATCTTTCCAGAAAACCATCAGACCCCAGAAGAAGCAATAAGCAGCTAGTTTTTGAAAAGAAGTATGGTTGAAAAGAATGCGGAGCCAACTTTTGGAGTGAAGTTCTGAAGGGCCCCGTTCTCATTTGCTTACTGGAGGGCAAACACCGTTGGGTAGTTGTGTGGGACACCTCTTACCCACGGGTCCATTTGGAGGGAGACACCTTCAGGATGTCTTACTAAGCTGGACCTAGTTCGGGGCAGGGATGCAGCTTGATGGGAAAATGCAAAGGACCACCGTCGTTCAAGGAATCTTTCTTTATTTGCATGGTCTGTCTAGAACTTGAGTTAAGAAGGAAAGCAAACGGGATTGCTGTCTGTTGAACCTTGCCCTTGCAAAGGAAAGACTTGCTGGTGGCTCAACAGGAATGAGGGAATGACCCGAGAATTTTTTTAAACAAACCATCCCTTGTGGTTTCCTTTCAGGGGACCCCTGGGCTCATTCCCAGATTCCCCGCTGCGCACAGCAAGTAAGAGAGGGGGGTTGAATATTGACCGCACTTTCCGGCCTTTTGGGTCGGCTCCCCCTCGGGGCTGGTGGGTTGATCCTCCTGACCCGAAGTTGAAGTCGCCTGATTTTAGCAGCTTTCCGCTAGGCGTGCGACGCATCATTCTATCCTGACGCTATCCATTGAGAAACATCCACATGTGTCCTTTTTGAAAAGAAAGAAAAGACCCCAAGCATGTTGAGGGTTCTGCTTCGAGACAAATCCACCCTTTCCACTCAGAGGCTGTTTGACAGCCCTTGTGGTTCCTTTGTTTCTTTTTCTCCATTTGAGATCATCATGCACATGTTCCCCTATTTTGAGTCCCTGTGGAGGGTTGCTTGCACCACCTAAGAGGCTCCTGGAATCATGATTCCCCTCTAAATACCAGAAAGTAGTGGTTTCCACCATGGTTTCAACCATGGTTCCAAAGTGGCGCGTACCGTTTTTAGCGGCTTCCATGGTCCGGAGCAAATCCTCAGGCACCGGGTGGCCGACTACTCGGCGGCCCTGCGCGCAGCCTCGGCGGCCCTAGAGGCGGCAGAGGAGTCCCATGAGTGGCGCGGTGGGGTCGAGGTTGGGAGGTTCATGTGGATGCATCGGGAGGCGCGTTGGCCTCTTTATTTTCCCTTTCTGTGAGAAAGTTAAGTCCTCTCCGGACTATTTCTAGAATCAAGAGGTTTATTCAAAATGAGGCAAGGGCTGTTGTGAATGCACGAAATCCATACCGCACCACTTTGGAACCACGGTTGAGGATTTCATCCATCCACAGGTGCTGTATTGTGGTTAGGTATACTAAGGACAACTTGCGGTGGCCTTGTCAAGCACCAGCCAGGAGAAGCGTCAGACCAAGCTGCAGGCTGATGCGAAAGTGGTGGCCTCACAGGCGAGAGGGCTTTGGCGGAGACGGAGTGTGGGAGTTGGGCGATACATCAACTTGTCGGTTGCACATTCGGGAACATATGTAGCAGCACTAATATGGGGTGTGGCTCAAAATTAAACAGCCAGGGTTACGCAGGTTTTGGTCCATGTTTCCACTTACCAGGGCTCCATTTTGGTACCGTTTTTTTGAGCCACAGCCATATGGGGTGTGCCTTTTTTTAGCGGACCCCCAAAGATGGTGGTTGTCCTTTTGGTTTCCCTTTTAAACCACAACCCAGAACATGTGCTTTTGAGGCACATGCATGTAAGCGCTGCAGGCAAGGGAACCTTTCCTGCCAGGTTTTTTCCCGGTTGCTCTGGGTTACCAGGTCTTGGATCTGCCAGAGAAGGCTCTCAATGTTGAGCCAGATTGATGAATCTCATGGATGAATTGGCGTGTTTCGGTGTTTCCCAAAGCTGAAAGAACCCGCTCTGCAATAGGATCCTATCAAAATCCACCCGGGGTTTGACGATTTGCAGGGTCCAAGTTTTCCGGACATTTCTCGGCTCCCAACATTCAAGGAGCCACTTCCAAGAAGTCTTTTGGGAAGAGATTCTGCTGGCGTTTCTGGCCGCTCCGCTCCCAGCGCCTTTCGTCCCGGGCATTCAACGTGAGGCGCACGAGCGGCTCCGCGAGTACCCGGAAGCCATCGCGGCTCGGACGTGGAAACGGGCTTCCCTTGGGTTTCCCTTCAAAACAGAAGACGACCGCCAAAAACACGTCGACTTAACAAAAGAGAAGCCCAGGCCCATGTGAGAGGTGGTCCAAATTCAAGAAGTTCGGATTCGGGAAGCTCCACCTTTGTGACTTGTCTTCAAAAGCGCATAGGGACAGTGCAACTGCAGCAGGTGGGCCCCCAGGTGTGAACTTGGGAGCACTTTGGAGAAAAACCGAGACCTGATCAATGCCTCACTGGAGAATCCGCTTTTCTGTCCCTCTTTGTCTCAAGGTGTTTTTTTTGCTTTCTTTCCTGCAGAAATTCCTCTGCCGCCTGAAATTTGCGCTGCGGTCCTTGGCTGCTTGCAGTTGTCCCGTCAAACAGGACCCGATGAGGTATGCTGCTGAGCGCCCAATTGGACAAATCTGACCTTGCCCTTGGGCAGGTGGACAGGTATTTTGGGTGCCAACTCGGGCACACCTTGTCAGCCCATGTCGCAATTGACAAGATGCGTCAACAATTTGGGCCCTCTTTTTAGTGTGAATGGATTCACCAGATACCCAGACGTCACTGGCTGGCTGCCCTTGTCGCTGGTTTGAACGAAAAGATGGACATCCTCTTCGGGCGAATGGCTTGCCCCTCCATCTTTGATCGCCTTACTCAAGGGCTGGGGACAATTTCCTAAAAGATCTAGGGGTTGATTCCCCATTCTTTTCAACCATCGTTCTTTTCGAAAAAACAAAAAAAACAAAAATGAATCCAACCTGGGATTTGTGGATGGTGTAGTTTGCAACGTGATGTATTTATCAACCATGTAAAACCCCAATGCATGAATGTCTCACTTGCGCAGTCTCATCATTACGACTGCGTATGGCTCAAGGCTCAAGAAAAAGCGCGCTGTGGACAGGGTTCATTGGTGACCCTTCCCGGTTGTTTAACCTGTTCTATAGGTTATCAGCCGTAAGCGGCTCTTTGTACAGAGTTGTACGCCATGGATGGCGATCCTGGACTACCCCATACTGAGGTGCGTCCCACACCTGATGAGCCTGCAGGCGATGAAGACGCCTCGCAAAACGAACCCCGACTAGTCGCGCGAATTCCCAAGTGGCCAGGGAGCTCATCAGGAAGGGACAGGCGCTGAGCAGTCAGGGCCCCGAATCGCTTCGATCTCGAAGTGACCGTGGGAGGACTGGGCGGTCTGGTGCTCGATCTCCTTCACCTGTTGGATCAGATCGGCATCGGCATGGTGACATCGTCATGTACGACCCCCAGACCGATCTCGCAAGGGGAAACCCTATGCCACAGCCCATGAATCAGTTCAATCAACATGTTGCAAACGTCCACCTCGATCCTTCGATGACGATCAACCAGGACGTGACGAACTATCAGCAGGTCAACGCTACTCAGAACAATGCCCAATTCAACCAGTTCGTGAATCAGGACACCGGTCCCATGGTCGCCCAGATGGCGGAGGCAAGGCATGGTGAGATCATTGCCGGACTTCAAAGCCAATCGGAGGCCATGAGACGCGAGATTCAAATGAATGCGGAGCAGCGTGTGAACACCATGAAATCAGAAAGAGAGGCCGAGATGAAGTACCAAAACGCCATGAACACGATCAGCGAGCAGGAGAGGCAGATCAGGGAGCTGAGGGCTATGGTCGAACAGATGATGCAGAATCAACAGCAACCGCCTGCTCAGCCTGCTCCGGCCCCTGTGCCTCCCGTTCAGCAGGCACCAGCTACCCCCTTGGCTATCCCGACAATTCCTTTGGCTGCATCTCCACCCGGACTTTCGAATGCTTCCTCACACAGGAGCGACCCCTACGGCAAAGACGGATCCGTTCCCGCCGGGGCCGTGGACGATGCTGCTACCGGAGACGGTTGGCCTGGCGATGATGGTGATGGTGGAAATGACAAGGACAAGAAAAAGAAAAAGAAGAAGAAGAAGAAGGACCGTAGCCGACGCCGGCGACGAGATCCGTCATCTTCTCCCTCGTCATCTTCATCATCAACTTCGACCGCATCGGATGAATCCTTTCGACGAAAGCTACTGAAGCACTTAGGCAATTCGAGCGATCCGACAGCGGAACGCGTTCGTGTAAAGGAGGGTGACAGAATTCAGATTCCCCGATTCCCGAAGCCCGAACAGTACCGTAATTGGAGGATCAAAGTTAGGGATGCTGTTGTTGCTACTTCCGATCAACCCGAAAAGGCATTTGAGTGGATTGAGGCAACTTGGATCCCAGGTCAAACTGTTGAAGTCCTTCGTGATTCAGGAATGTTTGTCCATCTTGACGCAAAGCTGGCATCGGCGTTGACGAACATCTTGGAGGGCGACCTCGCGCGGCAAGTCGACATTTTCAAAGAACAAGAAGCAAAGGAGAAACGCTACGCGAGGGGGCGCCAAATTCTTTTGATGATTCACAAGCACTTCAGCACGAACATCAAACATGGTGCAATTTACGACTTTGAGGACTTGCTCTCTGTCCAGCTCATCAACGAGGACCTCAAGAACTTCATGACGAGATGGGACACGGTCATCGCTGGAATGGGCAATGAGCAGAACGAGAAGACCCTTGAAGCGCTGTTCCACCGCCAGATTCGAAAGTTTCAGTCATGATCTCAATGAGTATGAGCGGGCTGAGGAAGGGACGGAAAAGCACTCATAAATTCTTGATTGACGCATCGAGGAATTATTTGGAGCGCAAGCGGCTTGTTCACATGCGGGATGCTATGTCGAGCAACACGACGGGACGTGGCAGGACTCCATCGAACAACCCTGCAGTTCCTGGAATCCCCAAGGGTGTATGTGTGAAATTTCAAACTGGCCAGTGCACCTATGGTTCAGACTGCCGATTCGAACATGTTAAGGCACCGAAAGGTAAGGGGAAAGGCAAGAAGGGCGGATCGAGATCCCAGACGGCAAGGAAGTATCGTTCGCAGAGTCCTCCTGGTTCCAAGCCCCAGGTATGCAAGTTCTTCAAAGCGAACAGATGCGAGAGGGGGAAAGATTGCCCATGGCAGCACCCCGCAACTTCCAAGGCAGCTCCAGCCCCAAAAGCCGACAAGAACACTAGTGGAGACACCCCCAAGACGTCGCCGAGAGACAAGAAAAAGAAAAAGGAGAAGAAGGGTAGCAGGCCTTCTTCTCAGGATTCGAAAGATTCGAAGGGTTCTCAGTCCCTCAAGTCTCCGCGATCGTCAAAAGGCAGCAATGCCGCGGTGTGCCTCCTCCAGGCGATGGTGTGCGCCGCGACCCTCGACTCGGTCGCCTCGTATCCTTGCTTGCCTAGTGTGAGTCACGATGTTTTCCAGGGTATGCCATGTATCAAGAAGTGTGTGCAATTCTCAGACTATCCATCCATTCGAACTATGAGACTGACGGCGAGCTTTGGCCCTACACTGCCTCGTCGAGAAGGTTTGCACATGAGTTTCCCGTTGATTTCATTCCGAAGTTCGATGAGAGAGCTGTTTCAGACGCAACTCTCGTCGGCGCTATGCATGAAGCTATGGTGAAGGATTTGCTCAAAGGCACGAAGACTTCTTGCAAATTTCAATGCGACTCTGATTTCGGCTGTGATTTCTGCATCCCCGCAGGCCTAACGGCGAGCCAGAGAAGCCCGAGACTTCCCCCAAAAAGGGGAAGGCTGCTGTTGCTCGTATACCAATGGATTCTTCTCACATTCCGTGGATCGCGGATACAGGAGCTTCTCAGGATTTGCTGTCGAGAACCGATGCGGAGGCGGGGTGTATTTACGAATCGTCTCAACCTCTGAAATTTTCCACAGCCAATGGAAATATTATCGGTACTGAGCAGGCCAGGGTCAAGATCAAACAGACCGATAGTGTTGTTCGGCCGTACGTTCTTGACAAGGCTCCATCCGTGTTGTCCGTGGGTATGAGATGCCTTAAAGACGGATATGATTTCGTTTGGGGAGCACACAGCAGACCTTATTTCCGACTTCCGGATGGTTCACGCTTGTGACCAATGAGGATGATGGGGACGAATTGGGGAACGATGATTTCTTGCTTGAAGATACCGTAAGCCAACCGGAAGGCAGCTTTGCGTGATGAGGCGACCTCACTCCAGCACTTGATGTGTCACACTCCCAAGAACCCCTTTTGCGAGACTTGTAACAGGGCGAAGATGTACAAATATCCATCAAGACAAAAGGGAGGTTCCACTCAAGTCGAGGCCAAGAAGTTTGGTGATCGCCTTACGGCGGACCATCTCACTACCTCAGACGATCATGAAATCGGCATTGATCAATCTAGAGTTGCAATTGTGGTTCGAGATGTTGCCACTGATTTCCGTTATGTTTACCGAGCAGCACGGGAAACCTCTCATCAGTGTGTGATGGCGTTCAAGCACTTTGTCCGCACCGGGGAAACCGTGAACGTGTTTTACAGTGATCGGGCTCCTGAACTTGTGAAAGCGGCGGATCAATTGGAATGGAAGCATGTTCAAACTACATTTCCAAAACGAATGCCATTGCTGAGAGGAACGTCAGGGCGATTATCGAGGGCACGAGGACCAACCTGGAACAAGCTGGTTTACATCATTCGTGTTGGCCACATGCGGCCAAACACTATTGCATGGCGCATAACATCACGGACCACCCAGATTATCATTCACCATGGAAGGTACGTTTTGGAGAAGATTTTCCCGGACCATATTTGCCTTTTGGTTGTCAAGTCAACTTTTGGACTGGCCCGAGGAATCGACCCAACAAGCCTTTGAAGTTTGGACCTACTTCCAGGGCTGGAATATTTCTGGGGTATCCCATCCATCCTGACTTTCTTTGGCGTCACGAAGTTCTTGTTATTCCTTTGCGAGATTTGATGGAAAAGGACTATGATCAACCTATTGCTCCATTGAGAGTAAATCAGATCAAATGTCCGGATGGTGAATTCTCTTTTCCAATGGTCGAACGGCGCTTATTGCACATGAATGGCGTAATGCCAGGGCTTGAATACGCTCCTGAAACGCC